ACAGCCACTCACGAAGTTAGCACAACGAGAGAACAAAACTTCGAGAGATGCGAGTATCGATGTCATGCCTTTTTTTAGATAGGAAAATTCAAGCATATGGACATGAGCTAACGGAACCTTTTTTTTTAATATTATTTAATGTACTTTCGGCAAGAGGATCAAGAAAAATAGTATACGACCCATGGCCATAATGTTGGATGCCCTGACATATGTGATATGATGGCCTCGGCTTCGCCTCGGCCATCATATCACATACGCCAGGAAATCCAACTTTCTGGCCTTGGGACGTAATATACTAATTCAGTTTATTTCTGTTGAATTGCTTTTCAAAGTAAATAATGTTTATATTAACATATGCACTAAATAAATATAAATTAAATTTAGATTAAATTTAATATTTCTTGAATTAAATTGCTTTAACTGAATTATTTTAGATGAATTAACGACATGTTGAGTAGGAACAGTGGCGAACTATAACGATTCAAATTATATCTAATTTGAATCATTTTCAATTATTCTTTATGAATCCTTCCCTAATCATTCATTATTATGAGCTTGACAGGACGATTGACAAATATCTTTATTCATCTTTATAAACGCAGTTACCCGCGTGATTCGCATTCGCGAACAAATCACTCAGCAATTAGCCGGGAACATTCGCACGGCTTGTTAGCTTAATCAATCGTTAACAATGACAAATGCCGTCGTGCGGATGAAAGCTCCGATAGCGCGACAGGACGGACGGATTTTGACGCCTTCGGGGAAACTCGACGAGAGCAATCGAAGCTCAATCGTCGGAGTGGCAAGTTTACGGCGTAAACACGCCGCTGACTGTTCGCCTGCGACAATGAAAAAACGAATCACCGCGCGAGAGAGGAGAGAGAGAAAGAGAGAGAGAGACGATGGCGGACGTAGGTCGGAGACCATGATGCAAAATAACAAACGACCTGTTGGCCGCGCGGACGAGGGTGTAATTTTTAAGTTTAATTCTGCGGTCCCACGTGACAAACGGGTGGCGGTGCCACCGCCCTGTGCGCCGCATCGACCCCGATATATTTTACCGGCGAAAAACAACGGCCCGTCGTTTCGTTCTCGATGATGTATGTACAGCGAATGATTTTCCACCGACTATACGTAGATAGCTTTGTTTACAAGAGTTTTAAAAAACGATTGTCTCACACACACACAACGCGCGCGCGCGCGTAGCGTTACACGAATTCGAAAATTTTCCGCGACGAGATTTTAAAAGCGTGAATCTTGCTGTTCCCCGTGTCGTATACGCGTGTATGTACTTCACGGCAGCTGGCGGCTTTCGCTCTTTACCCGGTGATATGCAAATGTAATAGAATTAACTGGTGGCTTCTCTCCCTCCTCTGTGCAGGGGACGAAGAGTGGGACGACGGTAACGAGCAGAATGTCCTGGAGGCGGCCGAACAGGATAACGAAACGACGGCGATTAAGCGTGAGTGTTATTTGTTAGACTGCCGCGGCTCTCACATGGACTTTTCTTTAGTATTTACGTACAACAGGTGGCAACGGTTCGTACAAGTGAATCATACGGAGATAAATAGAACATGTCCTCCGCAATTTATGTAATAAAAATTACATGAAATCGCGAAACAGAAGACTCGACCTAAATTAAATCGTTTGCGTTGAATTACGCGAAATTTATTTACTTTTCATTCGACGAACAAATATTTATATTGTAAACGTTGATATTAAATAAAACAGTTTTATTTATCAGATACATATATATATACATATAATAATTAAATTATATTAAATAAATTACAAAAATAAATTTCTTTCAACGATAAGTAATTGTGCGGTCATATGTTTCAGAGGATGATGAGGAGGAGGAGGAAGAGGAGGAGCTGCAACGGGCGTTCAGCCGTCAGTCAGAAGGTAAGAAATATTAAAAATGACACAGATGAAATGAAGTATCACCGCTTCTCGCCGTTTGAGTCGTATAACTTGTCGTTGCGAATGCATTCGGCTAATTTTTTTTGCGAGGCACCCGATTTCGTAATATAATATCTCCCGGACGACTTGTGTAACGCGCATCGCGATCTTCCTCTATCAAAAAATTTGCAGTAAAATCGATGCGCATCGCGCAATGAGAACCGCGTCCCCGCGCGCACAAAAACCCTGCCTCCTTTGCGTAACAATGCAAAGAAATTGCGAGAGAAAGAGAAAGAGTGAGGGGAAAGTCGCTCGGTGCATTCTGGTGCATTACTCGAATTGCCCTACGGGCACGCAACAATGCGTCGCGATGCATTGTCATTGTTGTTCGAAGGTGTTCAAGAAGCGCGCGATCCCGCCATAAATCCCATGAATATGGGATTCCTCGGTCCCTCGGGGGGAGGAGAGAACGCGCGCGGCACGTACCTATCCCAAGCACGAGTGCATGTGCATCGAACAATGCCGGTGCATCGCGCGCATTTTTCTCCTCTTTTTCCCCCCCGCGCGCGCGGATGATGAGGCGTGCGCGCGCGTTGGGCTTTTGTCGACAGAATGACAGGATTTTAACCCCTCGTTGAGTTACAACGCGGTTGATACACGCGAATATATATGCATGTTCGATTATTTTATCGCGTGAAGTATTTCATCGGCATTCGGGGCGGGGGGGATGGGGGGGTCAATGAAAAATGCAGAAAGTGCATTTCGCAACAATGTATTTTTCATTCTCTCTTGAATGCAATTATTACATATGTCTCTTTTTTTTAACAGAATTAAATGTCAGGCGTCATTCGAAATTCCCCTGTTGTATTATAATTTGCTTCTCTTCGCGCTTTTGATCTATCCTCTTCATTCCGGTTAAATTTTATTAAGAGTGATAAGGCAAGAATCCGCGCGACTAAAACTTTTTTTTCGTTTTACACCGCAGTCATTTAATTTTCGGCCGTAAATAAATTTTCCCGTTTTCGCCTGTGCAGTGCAGGGCGGCCGCGGCCGGCGAAACGGCCAACAGATTAACCGGATAGCATCTCTCTCGCGACGTCTACTTTTCGTTTCTTCCGCAGTCTCCCGACAGTTTCTATCCGAACTATTTTTGCGCTAAGTAAAATTTCCGCGTCCCCTGTGTGCGCCGCGCGGCGGCGGCGGCGGCGGCGGCGGCGGCGGCGGCGGCGGCGGCATCGTGCCCCACGGTACCGCCCTTGTTACGTAACTAGCGAAACTGTCTCGAAAGATTCGTACCTTTCCCAAGTATCCAGCAGTTTTCCTCCCCGAGGAGGCCGGAGGAAGATCAAACCTTTATCCGCTCCCCCGTACGTACGGCACGATTATTATTTCAGGTTACCTTTCGCAAAGTGTACTTGCGCGCGCGCTTTATACTCGGAGGTAAAACCGGCTTGGAGGAGCTCGCGGAGAACGAGGTTGCCTCCCGCAGGAGGCGGCCCGCGCTCCCACGGGGGATGCCTCGTCCGTCTGCTTACCTGAAAACATCGGGCTTCCTTCGCTTCTTTAATGCTCCGTGTACCCACGCCGCTCATTAAACCATTGGGACATCGTTATTTTCCCTCCCTCCTTTTTTTTCCCTCCTCCTCCTCCTCGTTTTTCAACCCGGCGAACACACTAATGCCTCCGTTTTCACAACGATCGGTGAACGTTCTTAAAAGCCAGCCTTTTGTAACTTGTTTCTTTAAGCCTTTCGTATTTAGTCTCTATAATAAGCATATATAGATATATATTTTTTAATGCGCCTTTTTTATGGATCTGTGCTTTTTTGCGCTTCGTCCTTGAATTATCTACCCTTGAATATCCTAGGGAGATAAATCTCGCTGCGTTTGGTGATAAGAATCTCTCCACTTGAGAGAGATTTGAAATTCTTTCCGCTTAATTTACGTTTAGCATAAGTAGTGTATTAGCATTTTACTGTGACTAAAGGCTTTGAGCAACTATAAAGGCACTTTAAGCTAAATGCAATGAGAATACAGGTCAAAGTAACTGCTAAGATATTAGTACCGGAGTTAATGTTTCACTTTCGCATCCTCGAAGTTTGTCGTTTAACTCGGCGGAACATAATTGGTGTGACATACACTTTCGCATCTGCTTTTTCATCAAAACTGTTACATTCGAAGTTACGCGTCTTGATAATATTTGAAGAACAACATATTCCATTCGTCCACGCAGTATTAACGTGTACATACGAAGCAACGAAGCTAATTTTCTCTAAGAGAATTGCAAAATTCTTATATTCATAATACGGCATTTATTTCTGATATCGCGCACACAATTCAACACTTTCTACATAATACAAACATTATTCTATTTTAGTATCTTTTTCAGATTAATGTTATTAATTTTTTCATTATTTATTCTATTTTTTTATTAACATTATATTTCTTGTGCAAAAGATAAAATTCTGAAATTTTTTTAACTTTTCAATAATTATATCCTTTATGCTTTAAATATTTGGCTTTCCACTACTTTCTTTATTTTTATATAGTAATTTATTCGCTTGATATTTTCAGCGATTAAGAAACTTTGGTACTTCTAGTATTAATAATTCGATAAGCAATTTTGGTAAACCGCGTGACGCAATAACGCATTTACTATCCTAATTTATTTAAGGCGAGGTGATAATTGATGCGCAGCACATACACCCCGCTACGGCAAGAATTTCTAACGCTTGTGACATGCTATCTAACCATGCGATTATTCCGCCGAGACATACCTTAGAGATGCACAAACGCATCGATTCCTTCGAAACATCAGCTCAATCGCAAATAATATATATTCGTATGTCTATCAATAAAATTATAAGAGAGTTAAAAACGAGAATATTTTAATAAGAAATATTTAAATTCCATGGAGAGAGAAAGATTTTTCTTATATCTTACATTTTTATACATATAAAAATATATTTGTTGCGTTTGAATTTTAAATTTGAAATATTTTCCAAACGGCAATAATTTATTATATTACTAGGATCACATTTATAACAAGTTGTCAAATTGAGTTAGGTATCATTTTGGCGAGAATGGATGATGTCAAAGCGTTACTTTGGGAGCACATCGTCGAACGATATAAGTCTGTAATGGGATTTCGGTTACGGGATATCGCCGTAATATGCAGTGCGCGATCACTCTTGCCACCTGCGCTACCCTATCGTCTTTTTGAACGGAACTGGCTTGTGCGTAATCATTTTTTTCGTCCTATTAAGGATCATATGGAACTTTCTTACAATTAGCAATATTTTAAGGCGCTACATGCCAAATTAGCTATCTATATTCTATATCGATATTCTTTTTCTCTTTAAAGCCAAATTGAGATAATAAATTGAGAAATATTTTATAATTATCACTACGAAATGCTTTCTCAGGTATAACTCTGTCTGGGAAGGAAATACAAAACTTTATATACGGTACGTTATATGGTAGAGTGAATAAAACGTAAATGCGCGTTTTGCAAACCGGGAAATAATATGCGCTCGCTTCTAAAGGTATAAACGTGAACATGATACCTTGACTCACGCGGGATTGCTAATGACTTCACAACGAGCTTCCGGCAACACGACGAAGACAAATGTTTAAACGTCCTCGCGTCTGTATATTATCATCATCATCCGGGGAATATCTGAGAGAGGCTCGCTCTCTCTCTTTCTCTCTCTAAAGGTTCTAAATACGAAGACAGGAAAGTATGGCAGAGGGGGAGAAAGAACGCGAGAGAATGCGGATTAACGCCTTATTGCAACCGCCAGCTGAAGAAACGGTGATAGGGAAACAAAGACGGAGAGAAAGTGAGAGAGAAATCGACCTTCGAAAAGTCATCCCCGCCGAGACTCGATTATTCACAGCCGATTGAATGATATGCGCTCGCGATTTTCCGTTTTCCCTTTTCTCTCTCTCTCTCTCTCTCTTGTTATTACAAATGCAGTTACTTAACGATCATCAATATCTTGTACGGAAATTTAATATCGGAAATGCTAAATAATTACTTTTTTTTAGTATTAAAAGCATTGTTTGTTAATGCTTTTAATACGAAAAATAAGTAATTATCTGGCGCTTCCAGTATTAAATTTCTGTAAAAGGTATTGATAATCGCTAAGTATGTAACTGCATTATTATTAGCGCCTATTTCTATAAGGGACTCTGGAATATTTCTGTTTTTATACGGAACATTCGATCTCGGCTTGCTTTTTATGGTCTGAAATAGGTGACTAAAATGTGGAAATATGTCCTGATCAATCAGAAGTCAATTTTGACAATCACGTATGGATTTGAAGTTCCTCTCTCTCTCTCAACTATTTTTATCCGGTGTCAAATATCAAAGCAAAATTTTTCCCTACAGGATACCTAACGCAACTTCTGATTTATTTTGACTGATAATCGACTTGCGTATGGATTTCTTATTTAAAATATATATATATCTCTCTTTCTCTCGCACTGACGAATCACCGGCGAAAAGTAATGCGAGCTAAATTGCACGGTACGCAAAACTTTGGCGGTGGCCCGCCGTGGAAATTGCCGGACGGATAAGCGAAAAGTTGCCCGAGCCGCTCTTGTGACAGATTGAAATCTCTGACATTAAGAAAATGGGGGATCTCGAATTCCGATGGGGAAAGCCGGCAACTCCTCGGGCCCGATGGTGGGTGACGGTGCGCGCGGTGTGGCCCGGGGGCCGGCACGGTGCGGCGCGGCGCGGTGCGGCGACGGCGGCGGTCGGGGCAGGGAAGATTGTAACATCACTCGAAATATCTTATATCCTCCTCTCTCGTGGATTGTCTCGCAGGATATTGTAATAATTGCTGTGACAGATTCGAGTAGCTGGAAATGAAAGGGATATGTGGAGGAGGAAAACATTTCGTTTCACTTGTAATTGAAGCAAGTCATGTTCAGCATGTAGAAGGTGCAGCCTTGAGGAAAGATGAAATACAGAATATAAAAAAGAAGAGACAAAAT